AACTGATCGCTTGTTTCAGTTGTGATATCAAAGTGAAGAGCAAAAGAACGCGAATGGCGGAGATTCAACTGGAACCAAGTGCCTTGTTAAAAGATTAGGAAGAGAAACGTCTTTGCGAAAATACATTCGAACCTATGAATTTTTTTTCAAATTATTAGAATAACTGTAATTATGAATTATGACACCAGCCAATGCAGTAACAATCCGTACGTTTTGGGCCGACGTCGTGCTTTATAGTTTATGGCTTTTATAAATTTGGGCGTGATTATGGCGTTGGGTACACTTTGTTACTGGCACGCTAAATTGATCTCGCGTGGCGAGACCAGTATTGAGGCTCACATAAATCAAGCACAACGTAAAGTTATGCTTGTACAGAAGAAGATTTATATCAATCCATATAATTTTGGACTAAAAATGAATTGGCGTTTGTTTTTTGGGTGTAGTTAGAGGCCGGTAAGTTTATTACGGTTTTAAATAAATGTTTAGCAACTCCTCCTCCTTCATTGTCTAATAAATTACTAATATTCATAGATCGTTTTGGCGTACAGTTCTGTTACCATCTTGGCATAAACCCGAAGGTAACGGTTTAAGTTTTTACACAGTTGATAATTATATTGTTGCCGCAAATGATGAATGGCCATAAAGTGATGTTTTATGCTGTTTCGTTTTAATGTTTAGTTGCCACCTTAATATCATTAACTTATTCATTGCTTTAGTACAACTTACACGTAATAGAAAAAACTTCCATTAATTATGTTTATTAATGATTAATTATTAAGTGCAAAAATTTGAATTAATATCAATTTAGTTTAAAGAATTTCTAAATCATTAGTCATTTGAAGAAATTATAGAGCAAAAGTTTCAATTAATGAGAATTTGAATTAAAAAGAATTTCTTAAAGAGAGCACTTCTTTTCCGAATTAATAACAACCCGCATTAGGTTCTCCTGTCGTAATAGATAGTGACAGATTTGCAGCTATAATTAATTTCACAAATGAGTAGGTTCTAAGAGATACTGAAAATCGGCAATTACGACGCTTTCATTTCAACCTTTCTATTCCTCTGTTCAATCGTCTGTTTACGATGACTCAGAAAGTGTATATGTTACAGAAAATTCGATAGGATTTGTTACGTATCAACGCTATACAAGACAACTATACCAAGAACTTACCGCAGCATGTTTCTCAAAAAATGTATAGTTTGTTAACCCCAGTTCTTCTTTGAAGTCTCCGTGTATGCAAAGTTGATGTAGATAATCGAAACCTAATTGGAAATGTGAAAATGCCACCACATTACCACAATATGTCGTCACTAAAAGTATTACATCAATTCACCAAACGCCAATTATCAAACGGCCTGAGTCGGCTGTCGGTAAATACGTGCCTCCAGCAAATTCGAAAATCTGAAAGTAGATTGATCTGGACAAAAGGTTCTCAAGTAATATGAACCTTGTCGCAGCAGACCGCCATGTATATACCAGAAGCAACTTGTCAGTGTGCAAAGTCCTTGCACTTTTAAAGGTAAAGTAGGTTCTGAGCAATTGACCAAATATAAGATCGGTGCGGTAAGAAATATATATTATATATGACAACAACAACGTATGAGATGCAATGTTTTAGCCGGCCGGCCACGCTAATGGGCGTGAGGTTATTGTAGCCAGAACCAAGGGCGATATAAAGCTGGTAAAGTTGAAATCTGGTAAAATTTCATTACTCAACAAAAGTCGAAGGGAATATAAAACTAAATATCTAAACAGTGCCGTGAGGGAAATTTTTTATGGTAGAGGATATTTACGAATACAAACGTAGTTGCAGTATTACTACAACTACTAATGACCCCAACATGAGAGGTTTCACTTGCCATTTATTTTAACGAGTTTCAACTCTATCTCTGTAAAATTATAAAGACAAGTTGATTACACAACATGTAAAAAGGGCATGGCCTTTACGTATATATGTACATGGTTCTGCAACTGCATTATAAATCATGAATGTCAATGAATTGTTGCTATTCTAAGAACCACCGTATAGACATGGGCACACTTCTACCCGAATTCAAAAATGCAATATTTTAACCGTATAACCGCGGCCACAATATTCGAATTAAACATTCCTGTATATAAATTTAAACTTAACAATTATTTGTGACTATTTATAAACATTCACATAATTCCCAGATTAAGTTTTTATATATCGTTATGCTTCTCTCTTTCATTTGAATTTCTCCGTTCGAACTGAACTACCACACTTTACTTCTATACATTATACAGCTGTTTCCAGAATTTTTAACCTTTTTCCAAACATTGTGGGTGAGCATCTCTTGAAAAGCTGCCGAAAAGCAGCAAGCATTCATTTACTACGTTGCTGTCTGTCAATTTAAAATCAAACATCAAGATGCACAATATTTTTTTAGCTTTCTCATTAAAATTGACTGAGGAGACATTGTCATTCGAAATAAAAACATCTGCAGAATGTTTACAAATCAATGGGTGGTGTACGAATTCGAAATAAAAGCACCTATCACTCTCTACAGAAAAATCTTTTTAAGTTGTCTTCTAGACATTTTCAGGTTTATTTTACAAAATTTACTTTATTTCAAAAATCATTTCGCTTAAAGGTCTTTTATTTGATTATCTTTACTTTTCCTTCTTTATTTGTACGGCATGATCTTAATTTGCTTATATAAAATAGCTAGAGTTTGCAATTTACCTTTAAGGCAAGATAGTACTGCGGATAAAATGTATCTCAGTAATGATAAATGCCTCATATAAGTGACTAACCGAGAAAACAGAACCAAAAAATCGGTAAATGTAAGGGAGAACCCTTATAAGAGATTTGTGGAGGAATTCATAAAAACTGAATTAATTTGTATAATTTTCGATAACAATTTTAAAAATATTACATCGGTATGCAATCTTCGAACCCATAATTTTAAAAATGTATTTAATTTTATTTGTTAAACAAAGCACTTATGAATGCACTTAGTACTACAGAAGGAAATTAAACTGCTTTGGCTTCAAAAGCACCTACTTGGGTGCTCTAAAATTATACGATTCAACTTCAGGGTTTTTCTGTATAAAATTTGAATAAGCCGTCGCTAAACGCAAACATTCATCCACAGATAATTGAAAGGGTCTGACGGTATCTTCGACGTCGGCCTCTTTAAATAATTCAAAAGTCACACTTTCACGTTGATCCGGAGGAAACAGGGTCTCAAAACCACGACGACAATATTTTTGACGCATATTGAATATATGACGCACAACCTTTTCTACTAAACTAAAGTCTAATGTAGTTTTAGGTTCCTTTAAGGGCATCAGTTTGACAACGCCGACATCGACTTCAGGCTTAGGAACAAAGGCTGCGCCCGGTATAACAAATTTAAGGAAAGGTTGAGTCCAAATTTGAGACATTACAGATAGGCGACATCTTTGTTCGTGACCGAGAGGTGCGCATATGCGTTCAGCCACTTCCTTTTGGAAAGTTAACGTCATGCACGTGTCGGGGCGTCGAAATGCTCCCCTGCGCAATGAAACATCCTCAAGCCAATTAATAAGAAGTCGTGTGGAAATCGCGAATGGTAAATTCCCGATAAGATGTAAACGTTGAGTAATATCAGGCAAATGGTTTTCGATGTTAAAAGTTAAAATATCGTCAACGAATATCTGTACTTGAATATTTAAAGATGCAGCGCATTCTCTAAGCAATTCTAAAGTAGGTACGAAACGAGCATCTTTCTCTACCAATACTATATGTTTAGGTTCTCGTCGGATTATTGAGCGCGTTATGCCTCCCGGCCCTGGGCCGACTTCTAAAATTACGTCGTTTGAGTCCATGCGACCACATTGTTTTACAATTTTATCTGTCAAGCGCTCATCCATTAAGAAATTTTGACTGAGTTGTTTAACTGCTCTTAAGTTATACAACTTCACGATATCCCTTAAAGTAGGCAGAGGAGGCAAACGTAAACCACTTTTTAAAACACGCACGGCAGCTTCAGACATGTTAGTCTAGACGACAAAATTGTATAAATTTATATTAGTTCAAATTTGTTTTCTTCATATTTCTAACTAACCTTCTTCTTCTTCTTTTCTTACACACTCGAACAATATTTAAGTTTTCAATAACGATATATTCTCTTAAAATACTAAAACTTTATTATTCTGCGTAGATTACGCAGTTTGGGGCTTTTATTAGTTGGCCACTTTTCGAGGTTCTTCAAAGTCATCCAAGAATTTTTCTTGCTTTACCGATAAAATCGAATATGCATAGATACCCACTACCGATGTTATTAATGCACCAGCAGTTATTAAGTTATTACGACGTAAACGCTTCAATTTTTGCACCCTCTCTAGATTTTGTTCTTCTATTAATTTCATAAATTCCAATTGTGCCTTATCTAATTTTAATGATGGGTCAGCATACTTTACGTTTAACTTTTGCTGCTTATGCTCGTTGCCACTCATTATGTCCTTCCGACAGAAATAGTAAATATTTTTTTTTTTTTTTTTTGGGTTGTTGAGTGAAGAGGGAATAGTAAATCTATGAAATTTATTATTACGTTAACTTATATTTTTGCAGACAAATCGTTTTTGCTTTCGCAGCTGATATAATACACACACACGCTTGCTAGAGAATGACACAAATTAACCTAGACAGTGTTTTTCGCACAGTTGGAATACATTCATAAAGCGATTGTAGAACAGGTATGGTAAAACGCTGCTTTAACGTCACAAAAACAAAAGGAAAAGTTTATGCAGATATAGGTGAACGATATTTATAGATCTTAATTATACACAAGAATAATTGTCCAACTAGGCCACAAAAGATGTGAACATAATCTTCCATGGAAACATAAACAAAATTAAAATGTTGCGGGGAGAATTTTTCTGAGCTTTTGTTTATTTCCATCGAAATTCCACCATTTTTTATTTTCATTCATTTTACATTAACAGCATAAATTAAATATAAAAAACAACTCTGTGCTTTGTCTATTCTGAACACGTGGTACTTTTCATAAAAATTAGCCAAAGTTGATCTTGCATGTATCATAACCACTAAACGAGCTTGTGCAGGATTTCTCATTTTCATCTATAATATCTAGAAACCTTGAATCACTTAACGTTATCCTCTGCTTTACATCATACTTTCTTTCATGTTAAACTAATCACCTTTGAAGGACTAACTCAAATCTTACTTCGAGTACTTCGAGCGATGACTCTTGGCTTCAACTAATTATCACTGAATACATAAAAAGATGAGAAATATCTCTTCACTTATTTTACAAAAGAGAAGACCTGATGAACGATGAAGCCTATTAAAATTTTTGATTTTTCACAGAAAATAACTGCATTACGCTTGATCTTGGCATTGCTGGTGTGGCCATCTATCGCTGTAAATACTAATTGGCTTGATGATATATACTAAAAAAGCGAGAAATGATTATTTTATTATATTTACGTAACATATGCTTCAAGGCTCTTCAACTCCATGCAAGTTTAAATTAGTTTTGCTATTTTTTCGCATTTTATTTAATTAGTGACGTTTGGATGTATTTTTCTCATCCTTGGTGTCTTTTTCCTATTCAAATGCTTTATAGTTATAGTTTTTTTAATGTTTATATGTATATTATTACATTTTTTTTCATCATATAATTAAATCTTTTTTTGAACGGCTTACTACTCATCAGAAAAATCGTCTTTTTTATACATTTATATATACAAGATTATATATTATATTTCAACTACTTCAAGCACTTGTACGAATATATGGTAAGAATTAACTGAAAATTTTTCAAAATAGGGCAAAATCGAATGCCACGCCTATAAAAATTGTATAAAACTATTCAGGAGACGTACAAGGGGAGATAAATGCTTATTTTTTATACATTTATATATACAAGATTATATATTATATTTCAAGCACAAAAAAAAAAAAAATTAATCTTGTTGTAGTTGTTTTGATAATGCGTTGCGTTTCAGACAAGAGAAGCGTGATTGACCATTCCTTACTTATTACATCTTATCATACCATGGCTGAAAGATAGTTTTCATTTAATTATTCAAATCCTTTAGTAGATGCGGCATATGAAAACTTACATTAGTAACAGTTAAAATGGACATTTATACGCGCAAATACTCGCCCAGCAAACCAGCTAGCTCACTTTCTAATCATACGTTTTTTAATTTTATGATTTTATGACACATATCTTTCACTTGTTGAGAGAATTCGTCACGTCTTCCATTCCTAAGACTTTAATAAAGCCTATTCATTCAATTTTTGAAAAAATTTTATATATTAAAAAAAAAACTTTTTTACTTCTTATTTGACGATCTTATTTTATCCGCGGTCAGAATTGAAATGACCGATTGCATGAAAGAGAGAAAGAACCGCACGTCTGCAAAAATTATGTTAATTTGCAGAAACCGTTATAAGCTTTCATTGTATATGTGAAAACACATAGTTATTAAAAAAAAATAGCAGAATTGAAATGCATTGCCATCCTAAATACTTCTT